TTTTTTCGAGACAAGGTTTCTCTGTGTAGCTTTACGCCTTTCCTGGAACTCACTTGGTAGCCCAGGCTGGCCTCAAACTCACAGAGATCTGCCTGCCTCTGCCTCCCGAGTGCTGGGATTAAAGGCGTGCGCCACCACCGCCTGGCACATGCTTTAAAAGTAAAGCAAAAATCCTTCAACATAAGGTTATTACACTCACTCATTATTATTACTAAACCACATTTCTTCTTAATGACCTTAACTTGTGCTTTCTCTTTACTGTGTTTTGTGACTTTTCTCTTTACAACTTTTAAAATTGCGAAACATATCTAAAATTGTATTTTTTTTAAAAAAAGTTAACAACTGTTAATTTTGGTTAACTATAAAAAAATCCTCTTGTTTATACATTATGCTATGTTTTCTTTCTCAGTGAAATAAGAAACTCACCTGAATGTTTATGATGATAATCTTTATTTTCATTGCCTACTTGCTTATTATTTGTTATCCCTTATGCAACATTGCTCATGTTTCCCTTATGTTGCTGTGATAAATCACTTTGACCAAATCAGTTTGGAGAGGAAAGGGTTTATTTGGCTTACACTTTCAGGTGGTAATCTGTCATTGAGGTATATCAAGGCAGGAACTGAAGCAGAAACCATGGGAGACCATAACATGCTGGTTGACTTTCTGGCTCATGCTTAGCTAGGGATGGTGCTGCCTTAAGTGAGCTGGCCTTCTGATATCAATGAACAATGAACAAAGACAGTTCCCCATAGGCCAATCTGATAAAGAAAATCCCTCAGTTACGGATTGCGCTTTCAAATAGATGAATCTAGACTGTCATGTTGGCAACTGAAGCCAACTAGGACAAACATATCATCCTTTTCCTCATTTTAAGGTATATGAAATATTATTTTGCTCCCCATATCTTTTAATGGCATACTCTTTAAATTAATTCTCATAGTATCTTTGCAACTGTTTGCAAATATAAGAAAAAAAACCGTGCTACAGAGTTCTAATGAGCAGAAAAAGATGAAGTATTATCAAGCCATTGGATCTGTGTATTTCAATTAGAATTATAGTGTATTTGAGTAGCTAATTCTTCCTGCAAATATGCCACAAAACAAAACAAAATAAAAGAATATATTTAGTCTTCTCTGTTTATATTTAGCACTTGTCTTCAATATATAATTGCATTTCAATTCCGAAGAGAATTTGTGGCTGTCTGTGCTTTGGAAAGCTTAGTGTACTGGCCACATGAATGGTCCTTCTGTTTGGAAAGTGTCATTCCTTCATCCTGCTATCTACTCAGAAACATATGCCTTTCTAAATATCAATCCCGGAATTCCCAAAGAAGAAAGATGGCATTTGCTTTAGAATTATGTAAAACAAAGCCAGGGCCGTAGTGATTAGGAACTCATCACTGCCATACTACTATGTGTACTTATGCTCAGGGTATTTAACCTTTCAAGGAATCAATTATGCACATGTGATATGCATCTGAATGTCACAACACTGTTCTCTACTGGTTTTAGGTCATCATTTTGTGTGTTTCTGGTTTGAAAGTGACAGTAAATCCCAGGACACATGTACATGCCAGGCAGTTGGCTACAGCTCTGACTGTTTCCTGGCAGAAAGCATTCATAGAGCAGCAGGTAGAATCCAGTGTTAGCTAAACACCCAGGACATTTGGTCTGACCTTCAAAGCGCAACACTGCTTCCCCACTCAAAGAAAGATCGGCAATTCTTTGTTCCCAACTGAAAAAGGAATGCAGAGGACTAGAAGTTGGAAAGCAGAGAAGGCAAGCATTGCGTGGACTTATCATGGAGCTGCTCCACTTTAAGGTCCTAAAAATTAGTTATGGTAAGTTTCCATTCCCCACCCAAGACTAAAGATCAGAATGAAATATGTGTGGTACATTATTTTTACATCATGAATTTTTACTGAAAAGAAGCAGTTTTCTGTCCACCAGGTATAATGAGTAATCAAATGATTACTTTTTCCATTTTTTGGTGTGTGTGTGTGTGTGTGTGTGTGTGTGTGTGTGTGTGTGTGTGTGCTGCATATTTTCATGTGAAGGGGTCCATGTGTATGGGTGTATACAGCCATTTGTGTGCACTGAAGTGGAGATCTGAGACTGATGTTGGGAATCCTCCTCCAGTGTTTTTCCACATTATTCACTGAGGCAATGTCTCAAAGTCGCTGATATGGCTATTCTCTCTAGACAACTTTCTCTAGGAATCCCTTGGCTCCTCCTTCAGAAGCTGGAATTGCAGGCTAGTTGCCAGAGCCATGAAGCACTTACATTGTTTCTGGGGGTCCAAACTCCCTTTCTCATACTTGAGCAAATAATAACTACTGAGCATCTTCCAAACTGAAATTAATAAACTGCTGAAAACTTTGTTTTCTTCTCCCAGGTTCTGAACCCAAAGCCCTTTTTTGAAGACATCATCCATTGGTGATATCACCTACTTCAGTCTTTCAGTTGCCTCTGTCATATCCTCCAGAAAGTCAATATTTCCAAACTATGGGAGCCACTTGCTTCTTTGCTCCAAAATACTTTGCATAGATGAACTACACAGTCTCACAGGAGGCAGACAAATATTGTTGCTATGCAAATGATCTGGTTTCCAATCTCATTCACTTCCCTTGTATATCAGAATGCTTCTAAAATGTTCCCACTGAAAAATACCTTCCTTATGGCAAAAGCCAGTAATTGTGTATTCCAAGGGACTCAGAATTATTGTCTTAAGCTCAATACTGTTTAGCAATCTTATATTAAAAGTTCATCAGAATTTTGCACTATATTCTTTAATATATTTATGCTCATTCAAAGGTTTTTAAC